CTAAAATGTAAAAGTGGACAAAATAAAAATTTTCAAAAAATTAATCACGCTCCTGGGGTTGGGTCCGAGTTGACTCAGGGTGGGTCCGAATTGGTCGTAGGTCCGAAATAGTATTGGGTCCGAGTTGGTTGTGGTTCCAGGTTAGTATTGGGGCCGAGTTGGCGTAGGTCCGAGTTGGTGGTAGGTCCGAATTGGCATGGGTCCGAGTTGGTTTGGGTCCGAGTTGACTCAAAACCGTGGGGATCATGCAGGAATATGTGAATGCGGAAAGCAAGGCGATTTTTATTATGGCATTATTCACATTAAACACAATATCTACGAGAGAATGACGCACGCGAGTGGCGCAGTCGTCCCGATTGGCAAGCATTCACATTTGTATTCAGACATGGAAAATGACAACAATTCGGAAAGTCAATTAGAGTTGGATGACAATACAATGTACATCAATTTCGCCTGCTCAATTGGCTCATTCAGACTTGAAGTGGTCGCTGCATAGCTAGGAGCTCGGCGATGGCCCTGTCCATTTTCAGCGACTTTGCCCCTTTGAGCCTGACTTTCGCCGTCCAAAGTTTCCCATATTTCCCGTCGTTTGGAAACTTGTGCCGTCTTTACTTGTGTGCGGCCACAACCTGCAGAAAAGCACCTGGTCGGCATTCTCCATAAATTGAGTAGGATTGTAGCAAACTTTTGGTGATCTCCAAATCGCGTTTTTGCACTAACTGCACTGGTATACGATACACACAGTGCTAGTGTGGAAGGGAGATTTGAATGTTTTTTACATGACACTTTTTCTTTTAGAAGCTTCCTTAGTTTAGTCAGCAACTTGTCTGGTACCCCGTATCACCTTATAGTTTAGCATTGCTCATCGAGCTTCCTGCATTTAATTGTCCAGACAGGTGCGTGCTACTGAAGAGTGAGCATTACCACTCAAAACTCTCTTCGCGAGCTTCGGCCGTCCCACATTTGCACTTTTCTGCTCTTGTCACCAGTTGCAGCTGGGGTGAGTTTTGCCGTAATTTGCTATTTGTATTGTAAGTCAGTAGTTTTAGTGTCAAACTAGTTAGTTTTTAATTTTGGCAAAGGTTCTTTTGAACTTTCTGATGCAGGGAAGGTTGTGAGCATGGTAGTTTGGCATACGCACCGCATAGTCGTCTGTAAGTTTCTTCCATTTCGCATACTTTGTTTTGTCTTGGAAACACCATTAGAAGTTTTACTTCGTCGTTTAGACTAAATGTAATTCTAATGTGATTTTGTTTAATCTGGTATAAAGAAAGTCATGTTCAGAGCCCACCATTAGATGATCCTCCGTACTATCCATAGATTTATCTCTGCTCCTACTAGTGTTCCTTAACTAGAATTCCTAGCACTGTGATACTAAATTAAGATGTAGAGTGGTCCTCTAAAATTTTAGAATTTCAAGTTAACTAACTGCATTTCTAATGTGTAAAAGCTGTGAGGGAATTCAGCTTTAGACCATGTGGTGCAGAACAAAGGATTAGACTCACACAGTCTGCACTGTAGTTTATAGCCTTTGGCCGTGTGTGAGGTGCATGTATGTTAGTTTACATGTAGTTAGTGAAGACAGAGGTTCCTTGGCCAGTCTACTTTACCAATAAACAGTTCTGGCTGGTGCTGGCTACTTATGAATATTCATGACAGTCTGTCAGGATAAGAGAATTTATTCCCCTGTCTGGTCAGTGACCATGTGGCCTTAGACTGGGCGAC